ATGAAGATCAATTTTGCTGCAAAAACATACCCCCAGGATTTAAGATATATTGAAAGTTAAGTTGCGTTATTTGTTATTAATAATTTAGCAATAGTTTTCTATATACTTTTATTACAGAGAACTTTAATAAAAAGATCACAAATGATTGTTGTGGTTAATTGTATTTTCTGATCGCAAGATCAGTAAATACATAGCTAACATCCACGGTCTAACACAAATTTTCCTAACAGACCTAACAACGCAAAGTAGTTCTCACTCAGAACTGCTTAAAAACCAGCAATTTAAAATAAAGAATAATTTTTAATGTATGCATTTAACGAATTACAGTGCATTAAAAGTTTAGAGTAGTCAATAGAAATATGAGGTTACAATCACAAATTTCGTGGATGAATATCTTTTTTACCCAATGAAAAATGTTCGGCTATTTCCGTAAAGCTTAATCAATGAAAATGCTATTTTTAGCTATGTCGATTACCGAATACTCCAGAGCGTAGTACACAAATAAATCTGACTGTCAAGTAGTGGAATATATACATGTCGTACAGTTTTGGCGAGAAGATTTTCGCTAAATTATTTTCATCAGTGTTAAACAACAGGTTTATAGTGAAGAAAATACCTCGAAATTAGTAAGGATTACAAACACGGAATGGAAATTCTCAATTTAGAATTACAATGTATTTGTTATTATTCAAGCTACACTTCACCGTGGTGCAGAGGAAGCGCGCTCGTTTAAGGTGTGAGAGGCCCATGGTTCAAATCCTAGTCGAGGCAACTTTTTTTTTGAAGTGTCTTTTTCTGTACGAAATCTGCTGTGGTCATAGTATTAATTTAACAATAGGTTTATCTCTTAGATTTGGTTGGCTAAATTGCTAATCATGGTCATGCAACTACATAGTTAGGTGAAGAAGCAGGTGCTTGTTTTGGTTGAGTCTATTATGTTTTGTTTAGGGGGTTGAGTTGTCATACACAAATTTACAATTTATATGCATTTATTTTTTTCCAATGATTGTTATTATCTTAAATGCTTCTGGGATTGTTGTTTTATCACTTCATTTGTAAATAAGATTGTTATATGTCTTTTAACGGAATAATTTTAATAAACACGAAATTAGTTCACACCTACATGTGTATTGGTAACGTGATGGTTTAAGCCAATGAAAACACGTCAATATTATTATACTCAGGCAGAGAAAAAGTGTGCAAAGAGTAAATCGATAATCTTTATGTAGCCAGCAAACTTTGAATTGCAAGTATTTTTTCATATCTTTTCGGCAGGATAAACTGTCCGAGGATTCGTATCGTAAAATGGCTGCCATTTACAGTATCAAGTGATTATCCCAAGCACCACCGCGACTTAGCGCGGGAATTTTAATTATAGCTAACCTCGGCGCGTATACCTTTTTCATATTTTATTGTAATAAATATTTACAAACTGTGTATTTCGTTTTTTTTTTTAAATAATCATATCTCAAATCTTTGACTATGATTTACAATGAAATTCTACCTTAAGTGTATTAAAAAGGTTTTTAATTTCCTGTAATTTTATTTTGTGATTATGCTTCAAAGCAGTCAATTGACCGTGAATTTTCTTTTCATATTTTGATTCCAATGAAATCATTTTTCTCATCTGAAGGCATGCAACTTTAATATGGTGATACATTAATTACATTCCATGAAAATGTTTAAAGATATAAAACATCTCATGACATGTTTGTTCATTTTACATTACACCTTTAATTCAGCAAACATAAAGTCTTCACAAAAAGTAGTATGCAATCGTACCTATATTACATACGAATGTATGTAATATTTTTCTTGTTTAAGGAAGTAGCCACGATATGCAAGGATAAAGTATGGCTGTCAAAAAAAAATGAAAATGATTTTTTGATGCAACTCTAGTCATGCAAAATTCCATATGTATCAATCTCAAACTGTTATAGACGCAGTCGCTGCGTAAGATTAATTATAGTATATAAAAATAAACTTATATAGGAAAATACATACAGATAGTCAGTATGATTTAGATTGCAAAGATCAGAAAATACCACAGAGGTTGCAGCCCTTTGATGTATTATAGTAGTGTATCACGTTATGTATGGTCATTAATACGTTGTTGTTTTTATATTTAAGAAGTCGTCGGAGGATGAGAGTGTAATAGAGATACATATAGAGGTGACGTCTAACTGGGGTCATTCTATGCGACTAGGACTCACTGAGATACAGGTGTATGACCAGAACAACACTCTGTTACCTATTAGCGCTGCTGATGTCACAGTTCATGGTGCTGAAGAATGCAAGGGCACTCTTGATCTACTCTTTAATGGAAAATTCAAGGTGAGTCAAAAATTGTTTTATTTCATGAGTGAAAAATTATTTCATTCTTATTATCAGCATTTATTCATAGAAACAAAACTAAAGTTATGTTTGCACTAGAGAAAAGTGGGACAGCAATGTAAGACCAAACATATATATACATTTGTTTTAAAGATGAAAGTTTTTTTACCCTTTTGTTGCAAAAATTTGGTAATGAAAACTTCCACAAGATTATATCCTTTTCTTTAAACTAAAAGTTGTCAATAGAGGTTAATTATTGGAACAAGTAGGTTTAATACTAATTTACAAACATGGTACAAAAAATTGTAACTGGCTGTTATGATTACTGAAGTTTTAAGATATTACAGTGCATATTTTTTTTCTACAGACAAATAAGGAGAGGAATATGTGGAGTTGCCGGTATCATGCCAGAAGACCAGTAGAGTTTATGATCAATGTTAGAAATCAAAATTCAAAATCAGGGGAGGAGTTCTCCCTATCTCAGATGAAAATATGGAACTTTAATAAGAGTATAGCTGTATGTATAGTCTCTCTATATCATCTAAATGAATGCATTCAATATTTGTTGCTTTTTAGAGTCCTTAATGCATAACAACTTATATGTACTGATTACATTAAAAAACAAATCGTGTGTGTATTGGAAAAGAATGTGTATCTAATTCTTTTGGATTTGTCAAAAATCTTTCTTTTAGAGTAATATGGAAATAAATGGCATTTAAGTTAAAGAGAATTTTTTTTTTTTTAAATAATAAAAAATACTTAAACTTAATTAAATTGTATGGTAAAACAATGAATCAGAGTACATTTATCTGTTACAGGAACTTGATATAGGGGTTAAAGATGTAAGGGTATTTGTTGGAACTGAACTAGTCTTTTCTGGGCCAGTGGAGAAAGGATGTGGAAATCAAGTGTTTGATTATTGTCATGTGATACCAATGAAACCTCAAGGTGCTCTTAAAAATGGCTCAAACCCGGAAATAGAGGTAGAAAAAGCGGATTCTCCAGAAGTGCCAGTTCCAAAGAAAAGAAGTAGTGCTGTAAGTTCTAGTTCTACAGAAAAGATAAATAGAAAGAGAATGATAGAAGAGAGAAGGAAGGAAAATTTAACAGGGAGTTCTAGTAGAGACAGTGTTGAACAGTCTGTGGATAAAAGTCGTAACCGGCCACCTGTTTCACCAAGAGGTGAAAGGTCACCATCACCTGCTCCAAAGTTTCCTGTTAATAAATCACCAAGGGAACCAGCATCTGTCAATCATCGTAGTATTTCACCCCGTCCAAGCCAAGATCGTAAGAAAACGTTCCGTAGTATTAGCATGTCATCACAGTCTTCAGCATCGTCTGGTGGTGATTCAGCACCTAATTCCAGACCGACTTCCGGGTTGAAGAGCCCTGCTGCACGTAGTGAAACAAGGACGATAAATCATCCTGTCCTAGGAAAGAATGCCTCATATAGTAATCAGGGGTCAGACAGCCTCAGTGAAAATGAAGGTAGGAAATGTTTTTGAATAACATACAATTATGTATAGCGTTTACTTTGCTTATGATGTTACAAGTGATTTAGATACTAATATTTTGTCCTGAAAATGAACAATTAAGTATTGTTGCTTAGTAATGTTTAGAATGACTACATCTGTTATGATCCTATTTTATGACGTAATGTTACATGATGATATGCATTATTTTCTTACTCTTTTTATTCAACAATACTACATGTATTTCTTTTATATCTGTTTATGGATCTTTACTTAGCATCATTTGAAAGATTGTTTATGTAAGAAGTGGGAATGTCATGTTGACACTGGTTGACAACATTGTTTTTTATGGTGATGATTTTTAGTAGCCATAAACATTCAAGATAAAGTCATAGTGCTGGTATTTACTGAGTTGAAATTAAGATACGATGGTAAAGATATCATTAAACTTTGGATGTCAAACACTCACACACTACAACAGTTTATCAAAGCTAATTTATTATGTATTATTTATGTAATACACTTCTTACACCTTTTCAGATTTTCTGAAATATTTCATTAATCATACATTTCACTGTTGATAAAATGAAAACTTACACTTAAGTATGTAGGAAAACATTTCAGAAGAATTGTTTCTTTATTAATGAAATGTATTTACTAATTTAGTCTATATGACAGTGAAAAGAACATCCATAATGATAAAAACATTAACAAATCTGCATACATACTGCTAAACAATGTAATACTGATATTTCAGGCAGCATATGTCAGCTCTTTAACAATAGTATGATCAAAATGAATGTGTAACAATTGTGTAATATTTATGTTCTTCTTAAATAGGACCAAGGCATCATCATATATTTTGCAAGGTAGATAGTTTCTTATGTCTCTGATACAATAATGGCAAAAGACCATAGAGAACATCCGTACGTCCCGAAATCTTGTGAACGCAACTCCTCTTAAACCGGATGGCAGATTTTGCTTAAACTTACAGGGATTAACAACCTTAATGTGTAGATGGTAGTAAAGGAAGGAATTTTCGCTGCAACCAAATTTAACAGAATTATGGCCCTTTGTTGATTTTTTCACTAGATACTATGTAGAAATTTTGTGAACGCAACTCCTCTTAAACCGGATGGCAGATTTTGCTTAAACTTACAGGGATGAACAACCTTAATGTGTAGATGGTAGTAAAGGAAGGAATTTTTGCTGCGACCAAATTTAACAGAATTATGGCCCTTTGTTGATTTTTTCACTAGATACTATGTAGAAATTTTGTGAACGCAACTCGTCTTAAACCGGATGGCAGATTTTGCTTAAACTTACAGGGATGAACAACCTTAAAGTGTAGATGGTAGTAAAGGAAGGAATTTTTGCTGCGACCAAATTTAACAGAATTATGGCCCTTTGTTGATTTTTTCACTATATACCAGGTAGAAATTTTGTGAACGCAACTCCTCTTAAACCGGATGGCAGATTTTGCTTAAACTTACAGGGATGAACAACCTTTAAGTGTAGATGGTAGTAAAGGAAGAAATTTTTGCTGCGACCAAATTTTACAGAATTATGGCCCTTTGTTGATTTTTTCACTATATACTATGTAGAAATTTTGTGAACGCAACTCCTCTTAAACCGGATGGCAGATTTTGCTTAAACTTACAGGGATGAACAACCTTAAGGTGTAGATGGTAGTAAAGGAAGGAATTTTTGCTGCGACCAAATTTTACAGAATTATGGCCCTTTGTTGATTTTTAGCTCGACTTTTCTATGAAAAGGGGAGCTATCCTACTCGCCCCGGCGTCGGCGTCGGCGTTAGCGTTGGCGTCACACCTTGGTTAAGTTTTTCGTACCACCCCACTTTATTTCAGAAGTATTACAAGTATGGCTTTGAAACTTACCATACTTGTTCACCATCATAACCTCCATCTACAGACAAGAGTACATAACTCTGTCAAGGTTTTTGACAGAATTATGGCCCTTTTTTGACTTAGAAAGTGTATTGAGCTTGGTTAAGTTTTTTGTACCACCTCACTTTATTTCAAAACCATTGGAGGTATTGCTTTGAAACTGACCATACTTGTTTACCATCACGACCTTCATCAACAGACAAGAGGACATAACTCTGTCAAGGTTTTTGACAGAATTATGCCCCTTTTTGACTTAGAAAATACATTGAATATGGGTAAAATCCACTTATTGCCTTAACCCTTTGAGATATTGCTTTGAAACTTTTAATGCTATTTCACATCATTACCCCCATCTGTACGCAAGAGAAGGTAACTCTGTCAAGGATTTGTTTTAAAAATTAAGGCCTTTTATCGACTTAGAATCTTGGTTAAGTTTTTAGTACCAGTCCACTTTTTGACTGAACTGTTTGAGATATTAATTTGAAAGTTGGAATACTTGTTTACCATCATGGTCCCAAAACATGGGCAGGAGAAGGTAATTCTGTTAAGGATTTTATTTGAATTATGGCCCTTTTTGACTTAGAAACTCAGTTAAGATTTTCATTCTTGTCCACTTGTTGACTTAACCATTTGAGATATTACTTTGGAAGTTGGAGTTCTTATGTGCCATCATGAGACCTATCTGTAAGCAAGAGAAGATAACTCTGTGAAAATGTTTCTTGATTTGTACTTAGAAATTCCTAGTTAAAGTCTTGTGTGCCCTTAACTGTCAAAGTTTTGTTTTATAGGCAAGCACTAAAAAAGTCGAGCGCGCTGTCCTTCTGACAGCTCTTGTTTCACTATATACTATGTAGAAATTTTGTGAATGCAACTCCTCTTAAACCGGATGGCAGATTTTGCTTTAACTTCCAGGGATGAACAACCTTAATGTGTAGATGGCAGTAAAGGAAGGAATTTTTGCTGCAACCAAATTTAACAGAATTATGGCCCTTTGTTGATTTTTTCATTATATACTTTGTAGAAATTTTGTGAACGCAACTCCTCTTTAACCGGATGGCAGATTTGGCTTAAACTTCCAGGGATTAACAACCTTAATGTGTAGATGGTAGTTAAGAAAGGAATTTTTGCTGTGACCAAATTTAACAGAATTATGGCCCTTTGTTGATTTTTAGTTTTCAACTTGTGGCACATGTAGTCCAAAAAATATTTGACCTAGAGTCATAAGATTGACAGAACAGTGGCGTGTGGGGGCATCCGTGTCCTATGGACACATTTCTAGTTCTTCTGAGATTTTCTTTTAATCTATATACTCTGTTTAAATTTGTCTTGTCCTTTCTGCAACTTTATAACCAGTTTTGTTAGATTGCAACATATATTGTTGCATGAAATATAATAAATTGAATTTATTTTAGTTTGATTGTGTTGGAAGCTGTAAGCTTATTGAAACACTCTCGAAACTGTTCCTGGAACCTACCAGTACTAAGCAATGAGTGTAAAGTTTGTTGCTAACACAAAGGCTTGACCCTGACAGGGTTTGAACCCACGCGGCCAGCAATCCTCAGATTATTAGTCTGATGTGTTAACCACTCAGCCATGCTGCAAATTGATTATATTGCAAATTTTAATTGTGAATATTACCAAGGAAAATAGACTATCATAATTTGAGTACACTATTTTAGTAGAGCTGCTACCTCATTCTTTAGCAATAATCTTAAAATTTCTTCACCAATTTCTTGCTCAAGGAAACAATGGCTTGCCTCTAACAGGGTTTAAACCTGGGCGGTCACACATGTTTACCACTCGGCCACGCAGCCACACTGTAAACTGACTGAACATTATATAGTTTGGACATTTGTTTTCAGGTAGACAGTTTGCTAGTAACAATTGAAAGTCTTTTCTTTAGGAATCATGTATGTTATGAATCATGATAATATACAAGTATATGTATACTCCAGTGATTTTTGTCCTGAATTAAAGCAGTGCCCTTTTCTCTTATTAATTTAATCATGTCATAAAAGAGAGTTGAACAGCTAGTTAGCTTACCTTATAGTGAATGGTCTTGCATTTAGTGGTTTTGATCAGTCAATATAAACATTATTTAAGAGCTGTCTTTGAAAGGCTTGTCATTGGAAGAACACGTCAGGAAATTAAAGTTAGCCTTGTGTCTGTAATTATCACCTGCCAATAAAATCAGAATGAGGATATTGAAATGGCGTTGTCACAGTACATCCGTCTGTCTGTCTGAATACATACATTTATCTATGTCTAATTTTCTTGATAATTGGCAGAAATATTTATATGAATAGGGAAAATAAGGATCACTAAGTGGCATCAGAATCCACCAAGGGTGTTTTTTTGTTGTTGTTGTTTTTTTTTTTTAAATGGCCCTTTGTTACTTAAAACATTATTTTCGAAAGTAAAACTACAGTTTTGAGCCACATTTTACAAAAAGTTAATATGAATGTATAATATTCTAGTAAAGAAATAATTATCATCATACAAATACTATCAAAATCCAGATTTGCATTTCTAAGTTACGGCTCTTTGTAATTTTAGAATGAGCATTTTTTTTTTTGAAAAAAACCTCTGAATACTTATGTGATACTGTTTTTAATATATCTTTACATGAATGTATTTTATAAAGAAATGATTCACATCAAATTTCATTTAAGTTCATTTATCATGCTATATATAGTTGTGCTTGAATATTACGGAAAACAAGCCATTTTTGTGTCGCCTCTACGGCTACGGAGTAGTGGCGACATATAGGGATCACTTCTCCGTCGTCTGTCTGTCTGTCCGTCTGTCCGTCCGTCCGTCTGTCACAAAATGATTTTTGTCAGAGTTATGGCCCTTTTATAATTTTTATTTTCAAAGTTTGTCCGGACTACTTCTCTTATACCACTATTGCAGTTTCAATGAAACTTTACAGGATTGATCTGTAACTCAAGGCCTTGCGCATATTGCACGGGTTTTCTGGTTGAATGATTTTTGGCCGAGTTATGGCCCTTTGATAAAAAGGGTTTTTTTGGTGTGTTGCCAGATACGCAAAAGCTTGTCCGGACTACTCCTCATTAACTACTGGTGCAATTTTATCCAAACTTTACAG